AATTATTGCCGACGAGTATGACGAGTGAAAATGACATCGGCGACGTAGAACAGGTCATAGGATTGATGTCATGTTCACTCGCCAAAACACGAATCCGGCTACCAATAAGGACAACACCCGGTGCCAAAAGGGGTATAAATACAGGTGCATTTCACCATTCGAGATTATCGGCCCCTCCCATTGGAGACGTATTGAATCCGTCCAAAACATCGGCATACGCACGATAACCGGTATGCCCACTATCGTTAGAAACTCGGCCCTTTTAAAATCAGCCAACTTCAAATCTATCCAAAATTCCATTTGCTCTCAATCAAAAACAATGTTCTACAATAACTCTTTTTCCGAATACGATCATATCCGCCTCTTAGGTAAAACCCACTCCCCTCCAACCACCATACGTTTACCCAAACCATACCCATTAAATTGGACTGACTAACAAAACTGAACCTACCAATCAACCCCAAAATCCATCCACTAGTAGAGGCACAAGCCTGGAATAGTAAACGGCATAGCCACCCCTCCCAAAGCAAAGCATTCGAGATCAGTACTCCTTCAACCTTCAAGACCTTCAGACATCAAGACTCAACACTCTCTACTGTCTATTGAAGGAATAAGGAGAAGGAACACCATCGAAACCGCCAAAGCCGAACGACGCTACCGAAGACCGAAATAGACGCGGCCAACACGAACCTGACTACTGGATGGCGCAACTTCCAGCCACCAACATCGACCGGTGCGGTACATCTTAAAATAGCCCGTTTCCGGGCTACGCCGATCATATAAGTGCTTACGAACGGTCACACCGACCTAGTAATAACACTTATCGGTCGTGATATCGTCACCGCACCAGTCAACGACCAGCGGCGAACCTACCGGCCAATCCGAGTACGACGTTGTCGCATCACCCGCCAGACCACGATTAAAGATATACTTAATATCTATATATCTTTAATATATATATATCTTTAATGTATATCTTATATGTATATCTTATATGTATATCTTATATGTATATCTTTAATCGTGCGCCAGACTCACGACGGGAACCAAAACGACCTCTATCAGGGTCATCCGAGACAAGCCGTCAGTCCCCCCCAAGCGCGCCTGCCTAGGCCACGCTCGTCCGTCCGGGACTACTGATCGACGCCACTTTTTCGAGCGGGCTGATCAGTAATCACCCGGGCCGCCCCTAATTTTGTAAATAATAAAACATACCCCAATTGTAAGACTGCCTCGTACCCATAGGGATGCCCAAACTGAATTTAATTTCGATATATCGATGTATCGATATATCACAATAACAAATATCGATATTTGATATATATCGAAAGATAAATATCGATATATCGAAATATCGATATAAAACTAAAGACTGATAACTGATAAGTGATAACAGTTAATTTATTTCATTATTTACTTTTAAGTTTAAACTTAAGTCTAAAGTCAGGTACAGGTCAGTTACATAATACATTGTTACAAATTAAAAATTCCATTAATAATACAAGAACAATAGTCAATCTTATATCTTATCGTGGATATTATCCAGGTAATTTTTTCCCAACCACGGACATTTATATACAGGACTGGTAACGACTAGGAAGCGGGGGAGAAGAGTCTGTCCATGAAAAGTTATAGATGAGTTTTAGTTTAATATTTTTATTTCTTGTATAGTTGTATACTTGTATGTAATATACATAATATTGTATACATATTTTATATTATGTTGTTTTTATTATGGTTAATGTGTGTGCTATTTTAAATTAATTATTAATTATTATACTGTGTTTATGTATTATGGCAATTATATAAAAAAAAAAGATTTACGGAAAAACGGGTTTTACGATATATCGAGAATAATATATCGACAGGACTGATATATCGAATTATAAATATCGATATTTTTATATCGATATTTTCCTCTAAAATATCGATATATCGATATTATTTGGGCATCCCTACGTACCCATGGGCTAAGATAAGTTAGTCACGGATACGTGGGCCGTCACTCCCTAAATAATTGTATATATTTAGTTTCTGTAAAATACAACACACTAATTACTCAAGATACTTCACGTGTGTTAATTACTCAAAGTGACGGAGTGCGTCCTCGGCGACTCCGTTACACAGTTAAACAGTTTATAGAATGGTACTACATAGGAAGGGGGACATGGAAATCTCCAGTCATCCAGTCTTCATAACTACATAATAGTTATGGAATTTGCCCGTTTCTCAATGCTTATATACAAGTACAAGGTGTAACAGAAAAACACGACAAATGAAAATTGAAAAATTGATAAAAGTTAAATATATGAAAATATTATAAAAATTAAATTGATATAGTAAATAATTTAAGATTAATCTACTTATGCCCAAATAAAATATTGATATTTAAAAAATCTGTAAAAACTTATCTACTTGACTTCAATAATCGGTTTTACTATCAACATTTTTCTAAAAGTTAGATTTGAAAATTGCAAAATTTTAATTTTTTCAAAAAAATTTAATTTTAACTTTTAGTACTTAAAAATAAAAACTTGTATATTTGTCGTACTTAGCACAAGCATCTATAAAATGTATATGAAAAAAATTGTTTAGAACAAATGTTATGTCACTAATAATAAGTTAGAGAATAAGTGGTTACATTTTAATTAATGTTTATTACATTTTGTTGCCTTCGTGTGTTTTAAATTGGTAAAAATTGTCTATCGGTAGACTGGATTTGTTATCTCTGTCTAACCATCGCATAACATAACTAATTTTACATTCAGAATAACCTATTTAAATCTGTTGTTTTTTATAATAGAATAATTTGCCATTTTATCTGATTTAAAGGTAAGAACTAAGGGCGTTATTATTATCCTGATATGTACTGATGACGTTCAGCCCACATAGGTACTTACAATATTCAAAATATGTATGGTTGTCAAATAGTAAATGATGCTAAATGTAAATAACCTCGGGGAAAGACAAGGCTACGCGAACTTTAATTCTCTAGGAGACCAGTGTACAATGAGTTCTGGGAATAGGACAAGAGAAATCGTGTTGCGAAAAACGTGCAAGTAGAAAAAGTGGGTCTTAAAATAATAATAGAAATACGCTCAGGACTAAGCTAGTGTTCTAACTTGACAGACAATCGACTAATCAACTTGATTAAATCAAGAATATTAGAATAGCTTTTTGAGAGAAGGCATCTACAACCACAGATATATTCAGCTGAGTGACCCGTAAGGATTGACCGTAGACCTATAGGGCATAGGCAGGGGCGGACTGGGGCAACATTTTGGCCCGGGAAATCTATATTTTGACCCGGCCCTTGCCATTTCTCGTCATCACAAAAATGTAAAAACTTAAATATACCAACGTTTTATTCAATGAGGAATGCAGCCTTTACACATTTTCAATTTTCCCAGAAAACAACTTAAGATTTTTTTTTTTTTCATTAATTGTTTATGGCATCAACTAAGA